GTACACATTCTGATGTGAGTTATTAACATATAAATGTTTAAAATGTTATGGTGTGCATATAAGCACAGCTCTATGGACAAAGTTTTAAATTGCTTCCGTTTGGCCCCTTTTACTCTGATGAGTTTTGGCTTATTTGGTTTAAGGCCGTAGGTAATCTCGTGATTACTGGCCGGTTATGGCCTTAGCCCATAGGGGCGGGTTCGGGTCGTGACAGAGCATAACACATCTCATAGCTAACAATGGTGGCAAGAAACTTCCTGTTTGGTTCCCTCCAGATGCCAAGGTGCCAGTGGGCCTTATGCCACTCCATTTGCAAATCAACTTGGGCTACAAATAAGGATGGCTGCATCAATCATTAACATAAAAAAGTGGAATAAGATTGGTGAGATTCATAAAGCCCCAATCATTCAGGCAGTTCGAGTACTTGTATTTGTTATTTTTAAAATAATTAGATTATCACAATTACTTACATTTTGATATTAATAAAAGTATTCATTATATTTGTAGGATAAATTTGAGATTGTTAATTATGATGAGGATGAAAAGGTTCGGAAAGCAGTCAATAAAAAGTGTAAAACCCTTTACAAAAGTTGGCATAACAAAATGAAGACGCATTACTCAAAGTTGGTAGACACTGGTGTTGACCCTTACAGTAAGCCATACGAAGGGGTCGATCATAAGGCTTGGGTATACATGATCAATCATGTACGGTTTGATGGCGATCATCCGGTAAAATGTCATAATTTAAAGAATCATGTTTCAATTTCAATTCAATTTTACTAATCAATTAATTTTGTAGAAATTGGCTGAAAATGCAAGAGATGGTTGATCGTGGTTACCATATAATGATACAATGGGCTCCAAATCATTTCAAGCTACAATGTATAAATAGGTGATGCATTTAATATATTTAAAAGTGTGGCTCAGTTAAAATTAATTATGTATGCTTACTTTTAAATGGAATTAAGGTACCAAGAAGCTTGACATTGTAGACTTCTACAAAGATTCATATTAGAGCAAGAGAAAGGCGGATTGGCTTGCGCCAATATGTGGTGGATTACATGTAAGTATGCCAATAAATATAGTTACATATTTATGTAAATGGTTCTATTTGTTAAAGTTGTTTACGAATTGATAGGAAACTTTGAAAAGGCGACGTGAAGAGTCTTTGGAGCCTAGGGAAGTACCTTTAACTCAGGAGCAACTGTCAATTGATGTTCTTGGAAAGAGATCAAGATACTTAAAGGGCTTTAGAAAACCAACCTCACCCAGATCTTTTGTTAGTGCACAAACACATATTAAGTTGGTGTCGAGCCTACAAAACCAGCTAGAGTCATTGAAGAAATTGTTCGAGGTCCAACAAGAACAAACTACAGCCCACACTACAAGAAAATACACAATTGGCGACCACTTTTGCCGACTAAAAATATTTTGGTTGCCAAAAGTTGTGGAATTGGCGACCAAAAATTCTGTTAGTTGGTAAAAGTACAATATTTAGCTACTAAATTTTTTAGTCGGGGTATATTAATTTTTGGCGACTAAAAAAAAATTTAGTCACTAAAAAACTCACAATTGGCGACTAAACAAATATTTTGGTCGCTGTATATATAGTTTTGGCAACTAAAATAATTTAGTCGCTGAAAGAAAAATAAAAATTTACTTTTTATCTTTGGCGACCAAAAGTTTGGTCGGCAAACATTTAATTTCGACGAAAAAAAATATTTTGGTTGATGTATATATAGTTTTGGCAACTAAAATAATTTAGTCTCTGAAAATTTTATTTTAGTCGCGGTATAGATAGTTTTGGCAACCAAAATAATTTAGTCGCTGAAAGAAAAATAAAAATTTATTTTTTATCTTTGGCGACCAAAAGTGTGGTCGGCAAAAATTTAATTTCAGTGACTAAAAAATATTTTGGTCGATGTATATATAGTTTTGGCAACTAAAATAATTTAGTCGCTGAAAGAAAAATAAAAATTCACTTTTTATCTTTGGCGACCAAAAGTTTGGTCGGCAAAAAATTAATTTCAACGACTAAAAAATATTTTGGTCGCTATATATGTAGTTTTGGCAACTAAAATAATTTAGTCGTTGAAAGAAAAATAAAAATTTACTTTTTATCTTTGGCGACCAAAAGTTTGGTCGGCAAAAATTTAATTTCAGCGACTAAAAAATATTTTAGTCGTTGTATATATAGTTTTGGCAACTAAAATAATTTTGTCGCTAAAAGAAAAATAAAAATTCACTTTTTATCTTTGGCGACCAAAAGTTTGGTCAGCAAAAAATTAATTTCAGCGACTAAAAAATATTTTAGTCGTGGTATAGATAGTTTTGGCAACTAAAATAATTTAGTCACTGAATGAAAAATAAAAATTCACTTTTTATCTTTGGCGACCAAAAGTTTGGTCGGCAAAAATTTAATTTCAGCGACTAAAAAATATTTTAGTCGCGGTATAAATAGTTTTGGCAACTAAAATAATTTAGTCGCTAAATGAAAAATAAAAATTCACTTTTTATCTTTGGTGACCAAAATTTTGGTCGGCAAAAATTTAATTTGAGTGAAAGTAAAAAATATTTTAGTCGCTATATAGATAGTTTTGGCAACTAAAATAATTTAGTCGCTGAAAGGCAAATTTAAATTTACTTTCACTCATCACTCTTTCTCTCTCTTTCTATCTGTCTGTCTCTCTCTTTCTCTCTATGCCTCTATCTCTGTCTCTCTTCTCTTTCTCTCTCTCTCACTCATCACTCTTCTCTGTCTGTCTCTCTCTCTCTTTCTCTCTGTGTCTCTATTTTTGTCTCTGTCTCTCTTCTCTTTCTCTCTCTCACTCATCACTCTTCTATGTCTGTCTCTCGCTCATCTCTCTTTTCTCTAACTCTCTCATCTCTCATCTCTCTCTGTCTCTCTTCTCTTTATCTCTCTCGCTCATCTCTCCCTGTATCTCTCTCGTTTATCTCTTTTCGCTCTTTTTCTCTCTCTCTCTCTTTGTCTGTCTCTTTTCACCCATTTTCTCATCTTCCTCTCTCTATTCTCTTTCTCTCTCTTACTAATCACTCTTCTCTCTCTATCTGTCTGTCTATCTGTCTGTCTCTCTCTCTCTGTGTCTCTCACTCATCTATCTCTTCTATCATTTCTTTTCTCTCTCTGTCTCTTTCGTTCATCTCTTTTCTCTCTATCTCTCTTGTTCATCTCTCTTCTCTCGCTCTCTCTCATCTCTCTTTTCTCTCTGTCTCTCTCGCTCATCTCTCTTATCTCTATCTCTCTCTCTGTCTTTCTCGTTCATCTTTCTTCTCTCTATGTCTCTCTCGCTCATCTCTCTTCTCTCTATCTCTATCTCTTCTATCTCATTCATCTCTCCTCTCTCTGTCTCTTTTCTGTCTCTCACTCTTTATCTCTTTCTCTCTTTGTCTCTCTCTCTTTCTCTCTCTCTTCTTTTTCTCTCTCTCACCCATCATTCTTCTCTGTCTATCTGTCTTTGTCTCTGTCTCTATTTCTCTTTGTCTCTCACTCAACTCTCTTCTCTCTATCTCTCTCACTCATCTCTCTTCTCTCTATCTCTCTCTCTGTCTTTCCTATTCATCTTTCTTCTCTCTCTATCTCTCTTTTTTTCTATGTCTTTCTCTCTCTTATCTCTTTTCGTTCTCTTTCTCTCTCTCTTTGTCTATCTCTCACTCATCTCTTGTTTCTCTCTGTCTATGTCTCTATCTCTTTCTCTCTCTGTCTCTCTCTCTCACTCATCACTCTTTTCTCTCTCTTTCTCTCTCAATGTCTCTTTCTCTATCTCATGTTCATTTCTTTTTGTTGCCTCTCTCTCTCTCTCTCTGTGTCTATCTCTCGCTTATTTTGTTTTCTCTCTCTTTTTTTTCCCTCTCTTTCAATCACTCATCACTCTTATCTCTAGCTCTCTCTATCTCTCTTGCTTATCTTTCTTCTCCCTCTTACTCTCTCTATATCTCTTGTTCATCTCTTTTTGCTGTCTTTCTCTATCTCTCTCTCTCTCTTTGTCTATCTCTCGCTCATCTTGTTTATCTCTCTCTTTTTTTCTTTCTCTCTGTCTCTCTCTCACTCATCTCTCTTCTCTCTTAATCGTTTATTTCTCTCAATCACACTCATCTCTTTCTCTGAGCCCATTGTTGCTGAAAGAGGAAAAAGTCAAAAAATGAAATGGGTCTCTCTTTCTCTCTATCTCTCTCTCTCTATCCCTCGATCATTTCTCTTCTCTCTCTCTCTTTCATTCATCTCTCTTCTCTATCTATCTCATCTCTTTTCAATTATTTTTTTTCCAATTATTTTTTTTTCAATTATAATGTGTATGATCCCATCGTCATAAATAATAAAAAAATATAAATATAAATATTTTAGGCCTAGACAAACATGTTTTTTAGTTTATATTTTAAATTTTTTTAAACTATTTTGTTCAAACCAAACGCGTTTGTAATTTATGTTTTTCTAAAAATAAACAAAAACCAATTTATAAAATTTATGAAAAATATTTTTCATTAAAATATTACCCCTACTTCTACCAAAGTAAAAAAATAAGAATAATTTTTTATTCATTAAAATAAAAATGAAACAGATAAATTTTCAACTTTAATAACTAAAAAAAAAAGAATCAAAAAAAAAAATTCATTAACTATAAAAAAATATATTTTTTACAAAAAATATATTTTTTTTTTAAAAAGAGCCATTTTGTTGTTTAAATATTACCAAAAAAACAAAAAAATATTCCCGCTCGATTTCCCACCCCCCTTTTTTCCATTCTCGCTCGGCTTCCCCCCCCCTCCCCATCTCTTGAACCAAAATCCCCAATCTGAAAAACCAAAAATCCCCTTCAACCAAAAATCCCTAATTCTTACGGCTCCGCCGAATTCGAGAAGATCTGACTAAGAGGGTATCCAAGCTCCAATCTATGGAGATCGAAGCCATGGCCGTTTGCCACTCATTTTCCACGATTGTACTAACAGTTGTAGCCACGACTACTACCGGCGAGTAAGGAAGAGAAGAGATAAGAGGCGCGCGTTTAGAGATGGAGGTGCAAGAAGAAAGTGAAGAAATGGTGTGTAGCTTTGCAAAGTTGTTTTTTTTTTTTGGAATTGGAGAGGCGAAATAGACAGCTTTGCAAAGTTGTCTCCCAGATGATATTGCCCTCAAAATCGCCTCTTCCCTTCAGGTTTCTTCCCTGCAAATTGTTTTTTTGTTTTTTTTTTTTTGTTTTGTTTTTATTGTTATTTGAATGTGATGATTTTGTTTTTTTTTTTATTATTCTTTTTTCTTTTTTGGAATTTCAAGCTATCAGATGTGTGTTCGTTGGGTAGTTGCTCGTGGTTCAGGTATGACAATACTTAATTGTGGTATGACAATACTTAATTGGAAAGAACAGGGAAAATGAGAAGAGATTAGTCAATGAATTTGTATATTGGGGCCCTTAACTTTTAACTTACAGCTTTTGTTTAAAAGATTGTAAATGTGGTATGAATAAAACAAATAAACGGCTTATTTGTTGTTATGGAGGGAATTTTCTATTAGGCTTTCCAAAAGATGTTATGATGTTGCCTAGAAGTTTAATATGATATCAGGTGATCATCCTCAATATGTAGATCAGGATGCTTCCACCAAAAAGGGATCACATAATAAGTGTGACAGAGGTTAACACATATCGAGGCTGGTCACCTGACATCAAAAACTAATACTCATAAGCAAGAGCATCATATCAATTACATGATGTCATCTATATAAATCCATTTCCTGTTGCTGGCTTTGTTCAATTCATGATATTAGAATAAAATTTGTTTGGATATTCCTAAAATCAGCCCTAGTCTTTGACTTATTGTAGGGGAAATTGTAATGGTTTGGTTTTGCGCAAAGAAGATTATGGAGTGCAACTGTTGGGACATGTGAGCCTTATCAGTTAAAATTAGAAGTATTAAAGACTTGAAAAAAATAAAATAAATAAAATAAAATAAAATAATAATAATAATAATAATAATAATAATAATAATAATAATAATAATAATAATAATAATAATAATAATTAGAGAAACTGAGTTTGACATTTGTGGAGGTATTAAGAAGATATAGTTCATTTATCAGTGGAAGAAATGCTTTCTGTCTTCTGATAAGTGACATTTTTTATATGAAATGTTGAAATTATATTTGCAATCAAAACTTTATGATGCTTGTTCATGGCGATATTAATAAATTTGGTTTTGTTGTGGTTTGTTTGTTAGTAGTTCTAAATCATGGTTGAGAGCATGACAAAATCATGTGTAATATGCGTAACCGTTGAGTTGGTACATGATTACCATAAATTATTGCTTTAGATCAGAATAAAGTAATTTGTTATCCCTTTTATTCTCTATATAACCTTGCATGATCATCTATCTTAACAACACCATAGAATCAGTGAAACCATTGGCTTGACCTTTTTGATGAATATCCATAATATATTACTCTTATTTTACCTTGAAAGTAGTTTGTTAAGCCTTGGATTCCACATTAAAGGTTTCATGGGGTAGAGTAAGGAAAATTAGTGGCATTCTGGTTAAATTTTTGTTTAATTTGTTATTTAGCTGATTATGTGTTGTACTCATATGAGGTGTTCTTGTGTTCTAAAGCATGCAGCTCATCTGGATTTGGACACATCCACGTCTTTCTTTGGTGTTTATGATGGCCATAGAGGTAAGCAATATGAGCATACCTCTTTTCAATTCATTGCACTGTTTCTGTATTATTTATATTGAGGTATTGAATTGAGTTCCATGGTTCGTTCTTAATTTTTTAGCACCTTCTTATTGTAAGGTTTTCTATTTTTTGTTGACCAATTAACTTTTAGCATATTTCTTTAATGACCCTCGGTTGCTTAACCTGCAGTATCATTATTAGAAATTTAGAATGGGACATCAATTTGAAATTATTATGATCCTTATGTGCCAAGGTTTGAGGGTTTTATGACGATGCCAATTGTATCTTATAACAAAAGATACTACTACATGCATGATACTTCCTTGAAGGAGTTTAAGTTGTCACACACAAACACAAACAGTTATTAAACACCATTGATTACCAACTTCTTGCATTATGCTATGCTTGTTATAGGATTTCCATGAATAGGATTGTAAAGTTGCTTTACTATTACTGTTATTTGGCATTTCAACCAATACTCCTTGTTGGTTCAATTGAGCTATATATATATTGTTGCTAACATTTTGTGGGGCACAAAATGCTTTGATGCCGCAGCTCAATGTGCCAAATTTCACTTATTTATATTTATCAACAAAAAAAAAAAAAAGGAAGCCAAATTTCACATAGCTTATGTGAAAAATTGCTAATTTCATGAGGTCTAGGTGCATCTTTTATTCCATGTTGTAATATAAGGTTGGCGGAACTCAGTGCCAAAAGGCATGTACCACCATGACCTGTCCAAGAATTAGAGCAAGGAAGTTTCTTATTTGGATTTTCGTTTCCAACTTTCACCGGTAACAGTTGTCCATGTGATATGTTTTCTGTCATTGACATACAAAGAAATGCTATTGCAATACTTTCAAGTAATTCATAGGTGCAACTTGTAAAGCTTCTTACAAATGTAGTTCTTCTTCTTGAAGATCCCATGCAGTAGATTTTTCTTCCTTTGTTGCAATGTTAAGGGTGACATCTGGCACTTTTTATGAAATATTTCTTCCTGCTAACTGCATGTATCTAATAACAACCTTAGGTGGTGTGACTTTCCTTACATAGTTTGGGGCAAGAGGTGAAGCAACTCTCTGACCTCAGGTTAAAAGACCCATATATTAGTCAATGGTAATGGGATTTAAATTGCTATGTGCCTCATCATTTTTTGCTTGTATTTTCTTTTAACTTAGAACACCATATTGTGTGGGGTAGAACCTGTAAATGTTCATTGCTGCTTAGCTACTTTAACTTTACGAATGCTTATGAGATATTTTTTTGAATATGTTGGTTCCTGCTACCATCCTCAATCTTAAGATTGCATTTTCTCTCTTTGGAGTTGAGACTTGATTTGATTAAGTCACAGCAAAAATAAAACTCTTTCTTGTAGGACTTGAGTGTCAATTTTGCCACCCAATAATGATGGTTGAGGCCCAGTTATTGATTTGTAGAATATGTTTTCATCACACCTGACATTGTGAAACGGTGGTGAAGGTCCCACTATTGGCCCTTTTGTCATCTATGCTGTAACTTCGAATTAATTTTCATGTTTCCCTTTACTGGGCTTCTTTTTATTTTTCTTTTTTTTCTTTTCCTCCCCTTTTCTTTGCATTTTTTAAAATATGACATATTGGTAATTGTGGTATAGCCATCATCAAAAGTTTGTAATGTAATCATATAATTTTTTTGCCATATGTTTAATTTTTTTTTATGAGAATACTTCATTTTGGATGTTTTTCTAGATTCTAACTTTTCTTATTTTATTTGTAGGTGACTTCCAAAAACGATCAAGCACAAGGCTGATGCTTCAAAACCATATATATTCCTTCCTGTGTAGAATGTTTTTTGGATTCCTTCATTGATTCTCCTTTTAATTTTTGTTCAATTACTTATTGGTTTTCAATGGATGGATGTTTAAAACTTGTCTCAATTAATGTTTTGAATGGAATGATTGTAAAGTTTGGGATTGAGCAGGAAAATATGATGAATTTTAATGTTATATTTAGGTTGGGTTGAATGAATTTTGTTCAATATTGGATTGAATGTTTATAAACAAAAATTGATTGTTCAAAAAAAAAAAAAAAAAGAGAATCGGTGACTAACAAATTAGTCGTTGATTGTTTAATGTCTTTTGGCGACAAAATATTTGGTTGAGAAAAGTTTTGGCGACTAAATAATTGGTTGCCAAATTCTACACTTTTGTGACTAAAATCATTGGTCGACAATTCCTTACCTTTTGGCAACTAAATTATTAGTTGGCGATTCCTCAACTTTTGGCGACGAAAATAGTTGGTCGCCGATTTTTTGCTTTTGGCGACAAATATATTTGGTCGGGAAAATATCACTTTTCGCGACTAAAGTGTTTTAGCGACTAAATGAATTAGTCGTGGTAATGATATATTTAGCGACCAAAAATTTAGTCGGCAAATCTAACTTTTTCCCGACTAACAAAAGTTTTGGTCGCCAATTACTTTTGTCGACCCTCAATTGGCGACCAAAAAAATTGGTTGCGAATGACTTTTGCCGACTAAAAATCGACTTTTGCCGACCAAATTTATAGTCGGCAAAAGTGTAATTTTTTTGTAGTAAATATTGCCGACCAATCTTTTGGTCGTGGAATGTATTGCTAACCAAATTTTTTGGTTGCGGAATGTGACAATTTGCGACCAAATTAGTTGGTCGTGGAAATGGGCGACAAATGCCGACCAAACTCTTTGGTCGTTGAATGTGCGAATTGGCGACTAACATGTTTGGTCCAGAAAATATGACTTTTCGTGACGAAAGTGTTTTAGCTACTAAATGGATTAGTCGCAGTAATTATATATTTAGCGACCAAAAATTTAGTCGGCAAATATAACTTTTTTGCGACTAAAAAATTTTTTAGTCGCTAATTACTTTCTGCGACCCTCAATTGGCGACCAAAGTGGCGACCAAAAAAATTAGTCGCGGATAACTTTTGCCAACTAAAAATGGGCTTTTGCCGACCAAATTTTTAGTCGGCAAAAGTGTGAATTCTTGTAGTGCCAGAACCTAGTAGCAAAAGAGCAAGCTAGAATGATTGAAATGCAAAATGAAAGGTTTGAAGAGATTGAGAAGTTTATGAGGATGTGCAAGGATCATGCAAGCACGTAGGTTGATGAAGGGGATTATCCATCAAAGGAATCCTATTGACAAGCATTTTTGTAAGTATATTTTCATAATTTCATTTTCAAATCACTATAAGAACTTCACTTAATATATTTGTTAAAACAAACTACTGATTGCTGCTCTTGTAATGCCCTGCTATATCATATACAAATACATTTCCCCTCGGTTTGTTTGCCCCTTTGACATTATTGAACGGATTAGAGAAGTTGCATATCGCCTTGCCTTACCGCCATAACTCTCCGGAGTGCATAATGTGTTCCATGTGTTTATTCTTCGCCAGTACGAACTAGATCCCTTCTATGTGTTAGATTGAATGGAAATTGAAGTGAATGAAGATGTGTCCTATGAAGGAAGACCAATCCAAATTTTAGATACACAGGAGCAAGTGTTAAGGGGTAAGACAATTTCATTCTCCAACCATTCATCTCCTTTCATTTGGTCGGGCCCACCGCTGAACTCGGCAGGGTTTGAACAAAAGAACTCCTTTTTCAAAAAGAAAGCTCTAGTTTTCCCTTCAACCGTCCTAGCCACTTACTCGACTCTAAGTATCTCCATGGACTTCTAAAGAGCCCTTGCATCTCTCTAGCCAAGGCCCCCACTACATCTTGGGCCGATGGGACGGGTACATTTTTTTGACCCACTCCTTCTCCTTGTGGAGGGATCTCGGGTTGGGTTAGAAGATTCCGGCCTCCCTGACAAGGTCTATCGCGACCTCTAACATGCCCGGACATCTTATAAGAAAGAGAGACGACATTAAGTTCAAACTAACTTTCCACACCAAAGTGCCCCACGCAAGATCGTCGTACTTTCTACACAATCTAAGCACATATCCTCACATATACCTACTTTTACGTAAAACAATCCACATAATCACACCATCACATAAAGCACATATGAGTCATCCTCCTAGGATACAAGCTACTTCCATGGCAATCAAGGACCTCCAAATGGAAATAGCATTGATCAAGTGCCTTTCCAAAAAGATCTCGATGAATGCAACGGATAAAAGCTATATCAGAGAAGTTTAACTCCATACTCATATAACCACATAATCACATAGAACACACAAGGCATATAAGCTGTAAGGCCCCTGAAATATGTATTTACTTCTCAGACCCTAATGATGATTTATTTTCTTAAAACCCTCGTTTACTTGAATCAATTCGAATCTTGACAGTTAGTAAGTGCTAGTTTTTTTTTTTATCCAAACAGAAATTCCATAACCTAAATTAATTCTACCTAGGTTACATGTAGTTAACTTCGAGCCCTTATATATATATATATATATAGCAAGATTGATGGCATACCAAGGTACAAGATATAAGTACTATTTTGGGCAAGTTTTGAAATAAAATATATATATATATATATATATATGTGTGTGTGTGTGTATAAACACCTTGAGGGATGTGCCTAGGACCAAAATTAATAAAAAATTTGCCCCATCACACTCCCCCAAGGCTAGCCCTCCTAGGGAAGGGAGAGAGAAGCCAATTTTCTAAGACCATGATTATGAGATTCTAGAGAAACACAACCTAGTGACCTACCTAGGATGCAAAATCCAAGAATTAGTTTTATTACAACTAGATGTGGCCTTAACCAATGGAACAAGCCTCCTAAGCCCCTTCTATTCCTTTAGAATTCAATCAAACCCTAACCCTTCCATCCAATTCCAACTAAAGGGCTTTTATGTCCTTTTACCCCAAATTGCCTATATATATACCACACCCTCCCTAGCTTGCAAACACACACACAACACACTCACTCACACACACATTTTGGTTAGAGAGAGGGAGGAGAGCAAGGAAGAGAAGTCTAGAGGAGGAGAGGGAAGAAGAAGAGAGTTTCTTGTGCAAAGCTAGAAGGTAAGCCACCAACACAACCTTCTCTTCATTTTCTTTTCTAATGCATGTTCTTTTAAAGATTTTAAGTGATGTTTCAGATCTGTTATTATCATGTTCTCATGTTAAAAATACCAAGATTTGAGTATTGTTTCCATCTCTCTTGTATTATCAAATTTCGAAGGCAAAAGAGAGAAAGTGGTCGTGAAGGTACAGCGGCAGCGTCGGATCGACGCCCACTGCCCAGAGAGCGTTCGTAGCTCGATATTCTTCGATCTGACCGCGCTTGAACCCATAATGTTCACACCGGCGCGACAATCATCCTCAAGGTCGAGAGCCTTGACACCATAAACAATGTCAAGGCCAAGATCCAAGACAAGAAAGGAATTCCCCACGAAAGTAGTAATGCTCAATGGTCACAGCGCTACGTCGGCCTCATTTCTCGGTCGCGATTGCGGAGAACTTCGCCATTGCTGTTTCTTCCTTCGAGGTGATCTGCTTTGATGACTTAGAGGCTGACGTTTTTTCCATTTTTTGAACGCCCTACCTCCCGTATTTTGAGG